CGATGCCTAACCCACAGAGCCAAGACGCCCCGTGGGAAGAGTTACACATAAGACCCTACAACTTGCAAGCGTGTGAGGATGACGCAAGGCCGGGCAGTGTTCAGTTCTGCTGGGGTCGGAACCGACTCGACGGTCCCTACAACAACTTCAAATTCATGCGTTCTTATAAGCATTTACTGAAGAGCCTTGACAATGACTTTTGGAAACAGGTGCTTTATTTATACTTAATGCAATGAAAGATCTGACACTTTAATAAGAACAATAAAGCAAAAAATTATAAATTATCAAGAGTTCATAAGGGAGGGGGGGAATGAGGAGCTGATACTGAGCTTAACACAATGGATGGATGGTGATAAGAACTGTAAGAGGCCCGAATAAAATGATTTTTAAGATAATAATGATAAAGTCCAAAATGGTTTATTATTTCAATTTAGCAGATGTAAACATCTGTTATAAAATTAAGTTGACACGACAGATCTTTTTTCTGACTCACAGCAACCTGTGTACAACAGAATAAAGCACTGCCCCGCCGGCACCATCTTCACAATCACGTCAACGTTTAAGCCCGTTGCTATAGTCACTGTGTTGAGCCATCTCATTGAAGGCCTGCCTTTCTTGTCGCCGATCCTCTTCTTCACGAAGCCTGGCACCCTTCTTGATGCTGAGGACACCAAGTACAGGAGACAAAGTCTCGCCGCGCTTGCTTCTAAGGAGAATTATGGCTGTATTTCTTCTGAAAGGGAATGGTTCATTCTTCTGGCAGGCTGTGGTATCGTCAATATTCTTTGTTGTTACTGCCTAATCGGTTCCAACTTCCAGAGACCCCGTGTCCAACAGAATGAAGTACTGCTGACCCTGTGCCAGCCTCCCATTACGATGTTTGAGCCTCGGTGTGTCAGTCCATCTCCTTGAGGGCTCTCTTCCTTTCCCTGGACCCCCTTTACCCATTGCGATGTCCTTTTCCAGGGACCAGTCTTTACTGATAGCGCTCTCAAAGGACATGAGACCCAGTCTCAGCATCTTCCCTTCTGGTTGTACTTCGTCCGGTCAGTTTTGTTTGTTCTGGCCATTCTTGGCACTGCAATATTCTTTGCCAATACCATCGTTAAAATACATCAGCTTCTCAAGTAGAAAGAACATGTTTTGAGAATGATGAGGGCAACAAATGTACAAATGTGCTTGAAAAAATGAATATATGTATGGATTGTGATAAAAGAGCTGTACGAGCCCCCAATAAAATGATTTTAAAAATACTACATCAGCTCCTTCCATGGTTTTCCTGTCCCCCGTCCAGCTTTCGTGTGCCTAGGAGACGACCGACAATGCCATGGCTTGGGCTGGGTGCACCATAGTCTTTAAAAAGTCCCAACTACCAGCCTATGCAACCACGAGGTGTCGAAGGGATCAGGTGTAAGGCATCATCAGAACAAAAAATCTTACCATAGTGAATGATGGGGGGAGTG